TCAAGTCCTCTTACTCCAGGACTAGTTATTGTTTATCTTGAAAACATATCCGTAATGGGTTGCATCTGCTTAGCTATATAAAAGAATGAGATTTCTTTCTGTCTTTGCAGCCTCTTAGTGGGTTGCCTCTAATAAACACCACATTCTGGTTTAATGCTAATTCAATGATAAAAGTATTTTCATCCACTATTGTTGTGGAGAGGATTTCTGGATTGAAAGATTTTGTTTTTATGTTTCCCCAATACATTACTGAGTTATTAATTGAAACAATGGACTCAAGAAAATAATACTTTGTCAGTTGTTCTTAACCATAAATGTATATTTGACTCATCTGTGTGGTTTAAATATTTAAAAAAAAATTTAAATTGATTTTGAGAGGAGAGAGAGAGAGAGAGAGACTCATGCATTGATGTGCCCTGACTAGGGATTAAACATGCACTCTTGGAACATCTGGGGTGATCCTCCAACCAACTGAACCATCTGGCCATGGCATCTGCAGGGTTTAAAATGCAGATTCTCAGCACCATATTCAGAGATTCTGCCTCTACATATTTTAGGTGAAGTATTGGTGTCCATGCTTTTAACAATTATCCCAGGTGATTTTGATGCAGGTGTTAGTGGGCACCACTGTAAGTGGATGTTTTAACATAATTTTAAAATTTACCATATGAAAAATTCTTCCTTTTACTGTCTGAGTCACTCCCTAACTCATTTACATGTTTTATTTATTTTTACAAGTACATAATGATAGCATCAGCTAATCGTCTCTGGTAAGCAATCCATTTACATTTTGGCTTTCTTTTTCATCCATAACAGAATGAGGCTTGATCACCATTCCCAGGCCCTGGCCAGGGCTCTGGCCTATCATTCTCAAGAGAGCCTCTGCCTCCCACTTGACTGTGGAGATCAAAGCAATTTATAGACTCAACACAATCCCCATTAGAATGACCAATGATATATTTCACAGATATAAAACAAACATTTCAAAAATTTATATGGAACCATAAATGACCCCTATAGCCAAAGCAATTGTGAGAAAGAAGAACAAAGTAGGAAGTATCACAATACCTGACATCAAACTATATTACAAGGCCTCTGTAATCAAAGCAGTCTGGTATTGGTATAAGCACAGACACATAGATCAATGAAACAGAACAGAGAGCCCAGACATAAACCTATGTCCTATGGTCAATAAATATTCAACAAAGGGGACATGAGCTTAAAATGGACTAAAAATAGCCTCTTCAATAAATGGTTCTCAGCGAGCTGGACAGGTACATTAAAAAAATGAAACTAGACCACCAACTTACACCATACACCAAAATAAACTCAAGGTAGATAAAAGTCTTAAATATATAAGTCATGATACCGTAAAAGTCCTAGAGGAAAACGTAGGTGATAGAAGATTAGATATTCCACACAACAATATCTTTGCCAATATATCTCCTAGGTTAAAGGATATAGGAAAGAATAAACAAATGGGAATAATCTAATAAAAAGCTTTTGCACGGCTAAAGAGAACATCAGCAAAAGAAAAGGGAACCAATTGTATGGGAAAACATTTGTCAATAATACCTCAGACAAGGGTTTGATCTCCAAAATATATAAAGAACTATCACAACTACATGCCAGGAAGACCAACAATCCAATTTAAAAAAATGGGCAAAGAACCTGAATAGACACTTCTCCAAGGAGGACATACAGAGGGCCCATAGGCATATGAAGGGATGTTCAAAGTTCCTTAATTAAGTTTAAAACCACTATAAGATATCACCTTATGCCCGTCAGAATGGCCATCATTAACTAATCAACAAAAAACAAGTGCTGGTGAGGTTGTAGAGAAAAGGGTACCCTAGTACACTGTTGGTGGGAACGCAGATGGGTACAGCCACTGTGGAAAACAGTATGGAATTTCCTCAAAAAAATTAAGGATGGAACTGCCTTTTGATCCAGTGATTCCATTGCTGGGATTATGTGCTAAGAATCCTGAAACACCAGTTCAAAAGAACTCATGCATCCTTATGTTCATTGCAGCATTATTTACAATAACCAAGTGCTGGAAACAGCCTAAGTGCCCATCGGTAAATGAGTGGATCATAGAACTGTGGTACATTTATACAATGGAATACCACACAGCAGAAAGAAAGAAGAAACTCTTACCCTTCGCAACAGCATGGATAGAACTAGAGAGCATTATACCAAGTGAAATAAGCCAGGGGGTGAAAGACAAATACCATATGATATCACCTAAAAGTGGAACCTAATCAACAAAACAAACAAGCAAGCAAAATATAAACAGAGACATGGAAATAAAGAACAAACGGACAGTGACAACAATGGAGAGGAGCGGGGGATAAAGGGGAAAGAAGGGGAAGGCTCTAGTTAAGGAACGTGTATAAAGGACCCATGGACATGGACAACAGGTTGGGGATTGACTGAGGGAGGGGCGTGGGGAGTGGGCAGAGTAAGGGAGATCCAGGGGCAAAAAAATGGGACAACAGTAATGAACAACAGAAAAAGAAAAGAAAAAGACAATTAGCATCTCTCAAGTGCCTGTGCCTTGTATTTCTCCTTCTCTCCTAAATCAAAGAAACAACTACTATTTTTTCAAGATTAACTCCTCCAATTATACCTTAAATCTCTTCCACATTTTATTTCCTCATTACCTCAATTATTTCATTATTATTCCAAATCTCTGAATATTTTCTCTTTGCCAATGTATATGCTCAGGTGTCTCTAGTCCTCTAATCCTTTCTTCTCATCTAAATAGCTGAGTCAGTTTACTCCTTTTCCTTCACCACCAAAGTTATTTAGCTAGTAGTCTATTTTCATACCTTTCATTTTCCTATTCCCCCACTTCTTGCTCACTTACTGCACAAGGATTCAGCTCTCACATAACTATTTTCATTTTCAAACTCTCTCCTCGGACCCAAGTCGATTATTTCCTACTGCTGGATGGAGGCTGCCACTTTAAGTTTTAAAAGCACCCCAGATTTATTTTTTCCAAACCCAAACTTTCTTTCCAAAATATGGAAGAGGCCTATACTTTTGTTTTCAGTTAAGAGTAGCAACCTCCAGTTACTCAAGTTCAAAAGTTCCTCTAGTCTTCTCTTTCTCTCACCTCCCAAATCGAATACAAGTCCTCAAGTGCTAATGAGTCCACCACAGGGTGTCTCTTAATAGCTCTCCCCTTCTTCTGCTCCCACTGCCACTGGCTTTGTGGTACTTCTCTCTCCCTCTGATCTCTCTGAACATGGTTCTATACTTTTCCCAAGGTCAGCTTTCTCAAACAAAATATAACCTCGTCAAACCCTTAAACAGGTGTGTTTAAAAAGACTCAATGGCTCTTCATTGCCTATAAAATAAAGACAAAACACTCTTATTACACAAATAACAAACCAAGTAATCTTGTTAAAACAATTGAATTTGATGACTCAAACCTCTAGCTCTAATTAGTTTATAGGATATATAGGAAAGGAGGAACATGTTAAATGACATGTCAGAATTGCAGTCAACCACATCCAGAGTGTCAGAGTTACACAAAACAAATGACCAAATTACGTAAAGAGATAGATGGCATTTTAGAAAAGCAAAGGACAGAGAGTGTCTGTCATACACTAAAATAGGTGCAAGACATTTATTAACAAATGTGATGTTTTAGAAGCAAAGTATTAGATAAGTATTATATGATATTAAAGAATTGTTAAGTTTACTGATTGTACACATGAAGTGTAATGATTTTTAAATTCTTTTTAATTATACATATATTATATAATGCATGCATATACATTCATTTTAAAATATTCCAAAGATGGGGGTGGTAAGAAGGACAGAAAGATAATACAAAATTTATAAATTTTGATAATTGGTAAAGCTGATAATCAATATGGTACACTTTTTATTAATTTCTACTTCTGTATATGTTTGAAACTTTCCAAAATAAAAAAAAGGAAAACACAAGCAAACAAAAAACATTCATCATTTCCAGTGTTCAAAACCATTAATAAACCTGCTTTAGCATACCTTTCTGAACTTACCTTTACACATTCCTATCCTGACCTTGGTATTTTACTTAATTTGCCAAGCACTTGCATTCTAGGTCTGGGTTCATGGAGGGACATCGCTACACACTTTGGACTTTATTCTGGAATGAGCCCGATTACCTCTCTGCAGATAAGCTAGAAATCTCACATCAACTTTGTAACAACCTACTGATTGCTCTATGCAGGTGTGTTGTTGGCCCTGTCACTCTGGGCATAGGAGAGCTGGCAGGTTTGGAGAATATCAGTTGTTGCAGAAGGCATTTCAGTTTGCATGGCAGACTTGAAAAAGTAGTTTCAGATTGTATAACTTTGATTTTGAAATGTTGTTCTGTGGTTTTATAATTTTATCTGATATGAAATAATGGATACTTAAATGAATCATTCAATTACCCCTCACTGAGTGCAGATTTTAGGAACCTGAGAACATGCGTATCATATGGACAAAATCTCGTATCTGTCACCTTATTGATGGGTTGCAGTGAAATGCACTCTAAAGCTGGCCTTTTACTTTAGTGGCGACTAGCATTTTATTGAAATGGTATTTTTTGAACCTTGCACAATCCTTCATAATCACTTTCTTAAGTGTTATTCCTAAATAAGTCTATTAACAAATAAGCAGTTTTGAGAGTCTGAATTAACTTATGAGAAAAAAAAGGTATAAGTTATGCAAATTTTGAATGGATTTAGCCTCTCCCAACTTCATCACCCACTAGTCAATATTTTTCACATTTGTGAGAAGCCAGTATAACGATATTAACAATGATGAACACTTTGTATGTTAATGTGGATATAATTAACAACTCCAGAAAAATGTCTTTTGTCATTTACCATTTGTTAATATCCACTTAATATAGAGGGATACCCACCCCATTTTTCAGATGCATTTAAATGATTTACTTTTCAGATGTAATAACTCTTTCCAGATACAATTACAGAAAAGATTAGGCCCAGACTTACCAGGAAATCTACTGTGGAGGTTGGCATCACAGTTATAGCCATTGAACTGAGCAGACCCCGGAAGCACTCTAATTGTTAGAAGCAACAGCAACCATATCTGTTCCATTGCAAAACCTAGAAAAGAGTTACTTATGTGGACATCACCAGCTTTCACTCCTACATGCTGGAAAGATTGAGGCTATTCTCAACTCACTGGTAGATAGGCAAGCAAACAATATTCATGTAGTCAAAGCTCATTAAAAGCCTAAACCTTCTAAGAAATAATTATTAGCAATGAGGCAGAGATTTTTGGTTATGATATTTCAAAATTATTTTCATTCTTTCGCTTCAGTTTGCTAACGGTGAAAAAGCCAGGTTTTTATAAAGAAGATCTAGGTATAAAATTTGTAAAATAAAAAAATTGTTTATTATAAATAGGAAGAACTCAAACCAGGTATTCGGCAGGTTGGAACAGCATAGTTAGTGAGACTGAACAATTCAGAGGCAACTCTGCCCTTCATAACACCAATATGCATAAAGGCAGAGGAATTTAACACTCAATACTCGACTCTCAGAGAATCCTGATATTCTCAATGACCAAACAATGTCAGAAAAAAATGTCCCCTCAGCAAAGGAATTCCAGACTGCTGCTACTTCTCCAAATTGATGGTTTGTGTATCATATTGTTGGGAACCACAGGAATAAAGCAAAAGGAAGAACAGAGAAGCACTATGTGTGGAACGGCACCATGGCTCCTCTGATGCCTGTTCATTGGTGGGTAATAGGGATTGATGTAAACATAGGAAAACCTTGAATTCTTAGAAAAAAGTAAAAGGTGATTTTTAGTTGTCAATGTGGGTTGAATAAACAAATATAAATTGACTTTCATACTCAGATACCTTCCAGTCTAGTGTTTAATTTCTTTTTCCCCTCAGTGCCTTTTTATCAGCCTGTTAAAGTTAAAACACCTTCCAGGAGCACCCACTGTATTCTTATGGTCTGTTCACTAAAAGAAAAAAAAAGTCTTTTGGGTTGGTGGTTTATGCATAAAAAGCAAAAATAAAATAAAATTGTAAGTGGTTTGTGCAAATAATTTAGTGTACTTTAAAAGCTTGAGGTTTGGGGGAGAAAATTATGTTTTAGATGTTCTTAAAGATCTTCCCTTGGATGATTAATCAAGTCTTTGGCAAAAGGAAGGAAATATATCTTGCTTTTGAATCATCATTTTAATATAACAAGTTTATGGTGAACGAAGTCACTTTGGTGAGGATGTGGGAAAGGAAGGCATGATTTGATGCTCAAAAATAGACTGCAAAAATATTAACTCAACAGGGGCTTCCTTCCTTCAGTGTTATAACATACCACTCAGGCACAGACCTAATGACTTTTGGGAGAAGAGCCACATGTCTGGTTAGTTCTCCCTCTCCAGGACAGTCCCTAAACAAAAGGCTTACACAAGTGGCTCACCCAGGCCCTGGCTGGATTGGCCACACCTGTGCCTTCATTGTCTAGCTCCTCGAGACATGTCAGATAGATTGTCAGTTCTGCCCTATTGGAGACTTTGGAAGACTAGTGGAAAAACAGCGACTTGTTTCTAAGTGGGACATTAAACCCCCTCCACATCTCTCTTAGCGCTGCCACGCCCTTCTTGTGATGGGCGCCCTTAATTCCCAGAGGCATTGGAGAGTCTAGCCCCACATTGTTGTCTTCACTCTAGAGCTGTCTCCCACCCCTAGGGATTCACAGAGTAAGAAATTTTCCATGGTGAGTTATTTTATTGTTCTAAAATGTTTTCTAGTTTTTATATGCTCTGATAAAAGTAACATTTACTGAGTGTACACTGTATACATGGAAGGCACTGTATGCCAGTACATTTATCTATAGTCTCTCATTCGTATTCCTTATCATAACTAGATGATATTGGAATTGTCACTCCAGGTACAGAGAAAGAAAAATAAGTCTTAGGAAGTTTAAATGACATGGAAAATATATTGAGGAACTAGAATTCAACCTCAAGTCTTTCAGATGACACAAACTACCTAAATATTTGTTACTAAATAAATTCAGTGGGTATTTTTTTGGATGTCAGTTATCATTATTTTCTTTAGATTTTTAAGTTATGCACTCTTTAATAGGTATTCTCAGCTAAAAATGAATAAAATTCTTATGTAATATGCTTAATAGATGTATTATATAATATGGGCATAAGAGGGAGAAAGTTATTTTTTAAAAGGGAAAGGAAGACTTCTTTGTGAAAAGAGTGAGAATTATTATTATAGACTAAACTGGATACATCTGCGTTTACCAAAAATGGATGAGAAACTCAAGCTATTTGAAATAGCCTACTGACAGCAATAGCAAGTGTTAGCTTTACCACCTTAGATCTGATCTGAGCTTGTCCAAAAGAGGTATGTCTGTCCCCTTCACACTATGAACAGGACCTCCAGCACTGTCATGGACACTTAACCCTTAATAAATATTTGTAATGAAAAGAAAGTAGAAGTAGAAGGCAGCTTGCTTTAACAGAAATACATTGACTGTTATATCAGCAGATATGGATTCAAATCTGCCCTCAGCCATTTGCTAGATTTGTCATTTGAAAATCAAGATGGTGAGTAGAACATAGCATAGTCTGTACATACAGAAAGTATTAAAACATTAGTTTCAGGGCGACCACACAGTGATGTGCAAGTTGTACCCTGCACAAGGGCATAAGGGAGAGAGATGGTGACAAGGCCTTTGTTCCTTTGGCTAAGCCACGTGATCTGGAGCTTGCCTGCTTGACACAGAGGTGTCCCAAGGACAAGTGGCAGTCCTGATTAGTTAAATCACATGATTGCATTGACAATGTTATTTGTTTTGGTCTGTGTTTGAGCATTAAGATACACTAAGCAGGGTGTTTTTAAAAGACACCCACGTGTCTCGTATAGGCAGTATCCACATGTTGGTCCCTAGAACATTGGCAGTACTTATGGTATTTTCAAGACTTTGAGAGTCTCTTTATATTCCACCCACAACTTAGGACAAAATGTTGAACTATTACCTTGCAAACTTCTGTTACCAATCCTATCTCTGTCATTTCCCCTGCACCTAGAAAATCTGAGCATCAACTCACACTAGCAAGCTTGGGGGTGCTACCTTGCAACAGTGGCTGAAGTTCTTTTCTGAAATAAGATTGCTTGGGATTTGGGGACTATGTTGAGACTCTCATCAAAACATAATGTCCTGTTTGCTTGGACTGCCTACTTCCTGGGCAGATGCAGTTCTAGGCATAGTACTACAGTTTTGATCTGGCTTAAAAATCTTAGGTGAGCTTCATGTCACGAGGTCAAATCTGATTTCTGTGATCCACCATGGGGTGACCTGAGGTGCCCATTGTCCCACTGTGGCTCCAGCAAACTCTGGTTAGAGAACTGGAGCAGAAGCATTTCCCATCTTCTCCACCGTAACCAAGTGCAGGAACCAAGACACCCACTCCGGTGCTAACAGTGGTGTACAGGACAGCCTAGCACAGACTAGTTACAAAATACTAATGATAGGTTATTAGATAATAGTGACCTTGAAGATATGTGTGCCCAAAGTTTTTGTAAATGTTTCTAATCTTAGTACTTTCATAAAATTAAATGGATGAGGACAGAGGAAGAGGTGGATTGTATACACAATGATGAATTTAGAGGAATTCAGAAGTGCTGATTTTAAGAGAGGCATGCATATCTCTTAAACTGGTATGTATAGGCTCTGTGTTTATACTTAGTAATAAAAAGGAAACACTAAGTAATTTGCTGTCAAATATGTCAATATTTCTCATATTAAATTTTCTTTTTAAAATAAGTTTTTCAGAAATATGGATTTTTAATTTATTTGGTTAAGCTAGAACTTGGAGTCAGGAAAATATAATGTCACACTCAAGTCTTATTGAATTTTACTTAAAATGATATAGTGCTGTCACCAACAATGTTCTGTAAATTTTATATATCTGATATTTTTTAACCTCCTTTTTATTGCATTTTGTCATGTGCCAGGCACCAGGCTATGTTTAATATTCAAGGATTAACACAATTTTAATTTTTCCCATGTCACAAATATGAAAACAAAGCCCGCAGTCTTTCATTGATTCACCAAGGACCACATCCCTAGAAAATAGCAGAACAGACTTCAAAGCCAAGCCTGACCTATGGAATTGTTATACTTCCATTTCACTTAATTGGAACTTGTCAAATAAATAAAATGAATGTCTTGCTAATTTTCAGAAAGTAAATTATATTAATAATGTATGCTTTAAATGTGCTTTGAACTAAATGATTTAGATGATTGAGGCAAAATATTTTTAATTTCTACATAATTGTCATAGCTCTATAACTTAGACAATGAATGCACAAAGAAGAATATTCTTTGCACAAATTGATTTAATGACAGTACCAGTGAATTTTAAGTGCTTACAGTTTGCCAGAATGTACTTTCATTGTTTTGTTAAGCGCTTTATATATGAGATAGCTAAATTATTATCCTTATCTTGGAGATGAGAAAACTAACACACAGTGATGTTAAGTAACCTGTCCAAGGCTAAGCAGACAACCAGTGTTAGAATCAAAATTCCGTGCACAAAGAATACAGAAACCACCCTCGACTATAAAACAGCACTGCTTTCCAGAAAATGATTCTTATAACAGGAGGCCAGATACAATTTGGCAATTACTTAGTAAGTTTGACTAATAACAGTTTATTCATACATTTATTTATCAATTGTTATTGAATGCTTACATGTGCCTGGTACTGCCCAGGGGTGCTGTGGAACTGCCATTAGAAAATTTTCATCTGCCTAGAACTTACATTCTAGTGAAGGAGGTCAGAAAACAAACTTCATAAATAAGATACAAAGTATATTTTTGATAACTGCTATGGAGAAGAATAAAGTAAAGGGAATGGTATGAAGTTTTGGGGTAAACGGAAGGGAGTATTGAAATTTTGAATTGAATGGCCAGGGATATACATAATCCATAGATATCAAGCTCAAGGGGACAAAAAACAAACAAAAAACAAAAAAAAACTTTAGTTATGAACTACCATATCTACTTGTCTTTAATTTGTACTTAACTTTTTTCTATTTAGACATTTCCCAAATAAAATAGACTTTTAATGCATAATTTGTCTTCTGGGAATAACTTGGACACTTTGAAAAGCTGCATTAACCTTTTCTAATGAATAAGGTGCCCAAGAAAAGTAATTCATTAAAGAACACCCCTGTGACCCGAGGGAAAAAAGTGGACATGTTCAAAAGTGCCTTTATCTAATCTGGAGAAATAACTTTTGCAAAAACAAATGAGGTCCACAATTTATCAATGTTTAATACCTCTTTAATTTTATGGCCTTCATAAAGGCTAGTCTGTATCATAATGTTCTGGTAGGGGAGAAAAATAGAAAACTTAAAGTAAGCATCACTTCTTCAAATGTCTAATTATCAATTTAAGATTCATGCATTTTTCCACGAAACTAAATCTTCTGGTTTTGTCATGCAGATTCGCAGGGCTCTGGAACGGGCTGCTTGGCCTTGCGATGGCCCCAGTTCTCTCATCCTCAGTCCTCCTCTGCATTTATTGATGAGCTAGCTACTCAGCATAGCCTTGCTTGCCCCTACAAGGGGAGTAACCTCATTTCTGGTACTTCTGTATCACCCACCCAAGCCTGTTCCTCAGAAAAGATCATAAACAGTTCATTAGCCTTTAAATGACTAAAAATAGTTGTAAAAGTTTTCAGGAAAGGGGAAAAGAAATGTGTGTATTTTAAGAGAGGTCAAAGTTTAAGTTAAAAGAATAAAGGCCTATGCCAGCCTTCAAAGCAACCAACAGGACCCAGGTAAGATTTTGGGCAAAAGGGCATTGAAATTATACAGATAAGCAACTGTCTTGCTTAGTAATGTCTCATGATATTATATAGTCTTGCTCCAGAAAAGATACGTATTAGCTCGCCTTCCAAAATCATCAGTTTTAAAGTGCTGCAAACCATGACAATTTAATGAGGAGACATGTTTTCTGATGGAGTATCTATACTGTAGTTCTATGTTCTTTATTTCTATGGTGCACTTGAACATTAGAGGCAACATATATATTCAAAAGAAAATGAAAACATAAAATTTTCATCAGAAACATCCATTATGTACATATACATTCCTTAACATAGCATGTCCTTGTCTTGCTATAATAAAACACACTTGTACTTTTCAGAACAATGCCTCAAAGAAGGAAATACGCTTAGCCATCAAGAAGACATTCAGAAATTTTATAGCTCTAAAGATGCTGATGTATACCAAAAGGAAATATAAATGCTAAAGGCTGTTTGTAAGAGGAAAACCTACTCTAATTTTCTCTGACACAAAGTGAGTGTTCATTTATTTTCCTTTGTTTGCCTTTCTCATTTGTCTTTTTGTTCAGGGTTTTCTTGAGTAATCTACAGCATTTAAATGATCTACAGTGTTTAGTTTATAACATTTATTCTAGCACCTTAGGTTTTGGGGTACTCACAAATTGAACTATGTCACCATAAGAGCCTTTTTATAATAATTCATCAGGTTCATTTTCAAGATACATATATATTTTATTCTTCTGAAGCAGCTTTAAAGATGTCAGTATGTTGACTTCTTCCTTTTATGAAGTATGATAAAAAATTAATAATTTAAGTATTTATATTAAATGTTCATTTCTTTTTAATTAATTTAACAATGAGCTATTATTATTATTTAAATGTTTCTTTCTCAATAGAAATGATATACAAAATATTTATGAACATCCACAGCACAGGAATTGGCAATCAGAAGGGATACCATGCTGATATATTCTGGCTGAATTTCAACCATTTTCAAAACATCCAAGGTATTTGTTTAGGTACCAATAATGAGAATGGAAATATAAGTTCATATCCTGGTAACTCATTTAAGAATAAAAGAGTGCCTACCTATTAATACTCTACTATTTTATATTGGTCTGTTAATTCATTCAATGATTTATTCATTCTACAATTACTACTGAACAGTTTCTAAGTGTCAGACTCAAGGCACTGGGAATCCAGTGACGCACAAAACAAACATGATCTTTACAGAGTTTACAAATGAGAGAGGGAAAGAGTTATTAAACTAGTAATTGCATACATCAAAATATACTTACAAAATATATTTGGTAAGTGCTATCAAAGGAAAGTAAGCAGTCCTTCAAGAGTGTGTAACCTTCAAACCTAAGTTAGATGGGAGATATCAAGAAAGGCTTTCTAAGAAGTGCCCCAGTTGACAAGAATTAAAGGATTAATTTGAGTTAGTCACATGAAGTCTGGAAATTAGCACTCCAGGTAAAAGCTCACTGCATAACCATGGGTTCCAAAATATAAAAGAAAATTTGATATTTTTTGAACCCAGTTAATTTTGTGTGTGTGTGAAATTTGAAAGAAAGTCCATGAGGCAAAGAAATGGGAAAGGGCCATGGGAAAAGTCTGAGGTACAAACAAGGAGAGCGTGGTGCACCTTTCTTCCTAAGTGCAATAAGAAACATTTGAAGGCCTTTAAGTTTAGGACTAGGATTGTAATAGCATAAGTAAACAAATTTAGAATGTTATCTTTAACAGAAAATAACAGGTGTTGGTGTTGAATTCTAAGCGCAGAGTGAGGAATAGAAATGAGTGAAGGATTCTTCTCAAGTTTGTCAGACTGGGTATACAACAGTACATATACTGAGATGGAAAAAAATTTAGAGGAGGTACTTACTGAAATGGGAGCAGGGTGGAGAAGGGACCAAGATATCAGTAGATTAGGCCCAAATGCTTGGGGACCTAATTTTTCTGTACAAAAACTGGAATATTATAAAATATGAAACACATAGTCAGAGGCAATATAGCAATTTTGCTTTAAATTACAAAGGTAAGCCTCTGTTGCTTATCCCAGAGGGTCTTATATAAGTGAAAGAAGTACTGACAGGAAAATGTTTCTAACACAGTTAGAGGAACAGCATCTTACTAAGCAGTTAGAATCAACAGCTACCTCATACACTCAAAATTACCCCTGAAATTTCTTAAATTTCCTGTTTTTGTGTGAAATTCATGAGTAATCGAATAATGTTTTCAG